AGCAAAGTCAACCGAAAAAATGTCAACTGTCTCTTTATTTAAATTTCTTTATGATCGAAGCGCAACTGTGATGTAAGAACTCGATATCCGTTTGTAAATTGAGACTTTTATTCTGTAAAGTAATGTGCAGCATCTCAGAGACTAATCTTCTTGTTAAGAAGATGCGGGCTTGCAAGTCCACTCAATGCGATATTTTGTGAAAACCAATGCCTTTATTGTTTACAATACAAACACGTCTTTTCTCTTCTCGAACTGCGAACTAACTACTACTACTTGACTCTAACAGAGGGCGCTGGCCGGTTATCTTGCATATATGAACAAAATCAAACTAATAGAAATAATTGAACTGAATATTTAATTTAAAAAGATTAAATTAATTAACAAACAAAAAAAGAATAGCAATCAAATTGCGCAATAACCATTCCGCCCGCCTTGAAAGGCCCTCTTTCAACAATATATGTATTATGAATCGCGTGGTAATAAATCAAGTTTACAATCTTCCTCTTGCGGTAAAGGACATACATTCCTCGCTGCTCGCTTGAACTTGCCACTAGCCGTCTGAACACCGTAACAACACGAACTTCGTTGTCGCTTCCTGGGTGGACCTCAGTTATTCTACCTATTGCCCATAGTAACGGCGGCAGATTGTCTTCCTTCAGGAGTACTAATGTACCTGGTTGCAAATTTTCTTCTCCACTTCTCCATTTGTTTCTGCGTTGTAGGTCTACCAAGTATTCCCTTGTCCACCTGTGCCAAAAGTCTTGACGAATCTTCTGCAGATGTTGCCAAAGCCTTAAACGATTTTCTGATATGTCTAAGTAGTCTCGTTCTACCGGTTGCAGTAGCCGTTCCCCAATTAAGAAGTGTGAAGGAGTTAAGACTGTTAAGTCTTATCTCGAACATCGTTGGATATAGGCGTGAGCGGTCTAAAGTTTAATAGAGCTTCAATGCTCACAAGTAGCGTGTAACACTTCTCGAAGGTCAACGTGAGTCCCTTCGTCACAATGTAAAAGTGTTTTTTGATTTTTCATAGCTTTGATGTTTGATTCCCAAAGTCCTCCAAAGTTGGGTGATCTTGGAGGTATAAAATGCCACTCTATTTTTTGATTGGCAAGCTCTGCCCTTATCACATCGTGCTGCTTCTGAATAAATTCGTAAATCTCCTTAAGCTCTCTCTCAGCACCGATAAAATTAGTAGCATTGTCAGAGTATAAATGTAAACAGTTGCCCCTTCGGCCTATGAAACGACGTAAAGCTGAGAGGAACGATTCTGTCGTAAGGTCTGTCACCAGTTCAAGGTGGACAGCCCTTGTATGGAAGCATATAAATAGTACTATATATGCCTTGGAGCTGAGCACACGTCCGCGACGTCTGTTCTCCTTGATTCTTATTGGTCCGTAATCCACGCCGCTTATAGCAAAGGGACGAACGTAATTTGTCACCCTTTCTGCCGGCAAGTTTCCCATCTTTACTTGCGCGCTGATCGGCCGCCAGCGAAAACAATGAATGCACGAACGTGTAATCTTCTGAGCCTCTCTTCTGCCTGAAAGAACCCAGTACTTTTGCCTAACCGATGCCAACAGCTGCTCTGTTCCGCAATATGTTGCTTCACGTGTTCTTCTCGGAAAAT